TTCCAAAACAACCCAAATGTGCAGGTTTATCAGTTAGATTCTCCCACAAAGCGGTATCTCCCCCCCCCCCCCCCCAAAAATGGAGAGTAAGACAAAACGAGATGCGAGAGAGTGAGAGAGATGTGTGTGTGTGTGTGTGTGTATGGTGACTAGATGAATGCATGCACCATTGGTTTAACTAGGCAGAGCAGAAGAGGGCGAGGGGCAGGGGATAGGCAAGAGAGAGAGAGGAGAGAGGGGCTGCTAGACTCGAGTTGCGATAGTCCCTCGTTGTACTGTAAGGGTGAAGCTGGAGGGTGGAGCAAGCCGCACGTGGGAAATCGGCTTTGGTTCGCTCTTAGCGGCGGCTAGCTGCTGCCGGCCATGATGACAAGGTAGGTAGGCTTTACTTGCATATGCATTGAACACATGACCTGTAGAGTCCTGTACCTAGGAGGCCTACTCTACTACCTACATGCTACACTGTCCACCTACCAACGTAGAGTAGCCATGTCTAACCTTGGTCCATCACATAGGCATATGCATGTAGGAGTATATAGTATACAATGCATACAAACTACCGGTACCGGTAGCCAAAACCAGCCTACATCATCTCCAACATCATCTAGAGTAGGCAGCACAGCACCTAGGGAATAGACATGGATGGCTACTCTACCACACGCCTTGTCCTATCAGCATCAACATCAACATCAACATCAGCATCAACATCAACATCAACATCAACATCAACATCAGCATCAACATCAGCATCAACATCAACATCAACATCAACATCAACATCAACATCAACATCAGCATCAACATCAACATCAGCATCAACATCAACATCAACATGTTGGTGTCCTTCTAGTAGGTGCTTCCTGCCCATGCACGACTGTCCCAACGACATCAACGACATCCATCCCTCGCCTGCCGCCTGCCGCCTGCCGCCTAACCCTCTTTCGACCACTGCAGGCCGTCAACGTTGGTCGAGGACACGACACCAACATCCCCTCCCCCTTCATTCTTTGTGCCCGTCCTTTCCCCCCACCTGTCACTTCTACCACCGCCAGCCCACCCGGCACATCGTGCTAACCTCCAGCCTGGCTCCTCCAGCCCCCTCCCCCCTTGTGCAGCCCACGAGGCTGCTCCACGCTGCCGCAACCGTCCCTGGTACGGTAATCCAACCGGATCTCCACCCGACCACAAACAAAAACAACAACAAGAAAACGACAAAAAACAAAAAACAACAAACAACAAAAAAACCCGCCCCCAAGCCGTCCATGATCCTCCATGGCCGCCTGCAGCCCATCTTGACATGCACAGCCAATGCAACCTAGCCCAAATAAAGCCCCCTACAAGTCTGCATCGCACCTCTGACCTGCCGTCATCGTGCCCATACCGCAATCTGGCTAACGGATGACCACGACGCCTGCGACATGTCTTTCACCAGCCCCACCTCCCTCCCCCCTACTTCCCTCACTACTTCCCAAAGCAGTCACGCATCCAGCCGGCAATCAATCATGCACAGCCTACCATACAACCAGCCAGTCCTTGGTTAGCTGACTTTTGCGACTTCGGCCTGCAGCATCCATCGTTACTGTATCAGGGAGTTGCGAGTTGCACAACATGCCTGTAGCTCAAGCTAGTAAGATGACTGGGCGCGAGCTGGGTTACAGCGAGGCCATACTTGCCCTTCAACCACCTTTCCCGCATTTCCACAGGCCGAGCTCCGTGACTTCAAACTTGAGACAAAAGACAGGGTTTCATGACCGCATCACTTGGTCACACAGACGAAGGACCGGTCCAAAGTCGTTCCCCCTTCCGTCTCCCTCTTCCCTCACCCAAGGAAAGCTACATGGATTGGGCCAAGTCTTGACCACCACACATAGCTGGGCCGTTGCCAGCCTCTCTCCCATGTCACGGCCTTCAGGTGGACTGGAACCAACCTGCAGACCACATGGCGCCCTCCCATCGCCACCAAAGTCGTGCCTTGGACGTAGATTGTGCAACCACATGCTCAACCCCACAACCAGGTCCTCAATGCAACGGTCTTGTGTCAGGTGCCAGTGCATGCTTTGTACTTGTGTGTCCTGGACGAGCAACGACGGCTCATGAGCCGGTCCCCGGTGCCCCCCCGCCTCGCAAATGACGCTGGAAAATGTGCAAAGACGAGACTCTAGTACTCTAGACTATACTATCACTCGCACAACGTACCTCGAAATCCTTTGAGCTATAGAGACACGAAGTGGAGTCTCCGCCCCAACCTGGATCATCCCAGGCGTAGATCGGGTCCGATCTAAGCCACTGCTCCAGCCTGCAGCATCGATTGATGAACGGCAACGTGTCACCAGCGCGACAGGTTATGGCTACATCCACTTTATCCAAGACATG